AAAACAAGAGGAAGAAGAAGAAGAAGAAGAAGAAGAAGAAGAAGAAGAAGAAGAAGAAGAAGAAGAAATCCACCAAAAAATAAAAAATCCCAATTCTGAAATCTCACACCTAAGATGGAAAATGAGAGCGGCACGGACGATAAGTTTTGAGCCCATAGTTGATAATTCTTGTACATAATATTCCTAATACAAAATAAGTGGAAGTTAACACAACCTTCCTAACACAAAATAACTGGAAATTAAAACAACCTTCGTAGATAGAAACAGCTTCCTTATTCACCAACAGTAGAAGAAAGCACATATATAGGATGATTTCTCATTGGGAAAATTGAAAAAGAGCGTTTATATGGGATAAATGGATTACCTCTTGTATTCAATAGGATGGTGGGCTCGATTTGAACCAGTAGTTGCTGCAGAACCTTAAATGTGGTATGTTTCGATGTGGGTCTAAGGCTTCAATTATGTCTGCTCGCTGAATACTGCCAGCCAAAAATATAGCCAACCATTGGGTGTCCTGAAGTTGAGCTTTTCTAGTCTGCTCCATATCGATTGAATTCCCCACCACTTTCAAATGCAGTACACGGAGGCGCTTCAAGTTTCCAAGATCGGCAAGGCAAAATTCTTTAGTATCATTACGATCAGCTCTGGCAATGAGCCCCCTTAAATCTCTAAGAGAAGTCAATTTCTGAACGCCTTTTGGATATTGAGTGAGAGCAGAGCAACCAACAGTATAAAGATACCTCAAGTTGATTAATTTTCCTATTGAATCTGGCAACTGCTTGAGATTTCCGCAGTGCCACAAATCCAAAGACTCCAAATTAAGTAGGTTGCAGAGTGCTTCAGGCAGCCTTTCTAATTTTTGACTAGAACTTAAGTGAAAGAATCTCAAGTGTATCAATTTTCCTATTCCTTCAGGAATTTCTTTGCATAAATGATCAGTTCTATCAGGCCAACCAAAACTCAATACCCTTAAGCGTCTGCAATGATTAAACAAGCCACGCAAGGCCTCAAAAGTCAGTGCACCCTCTCCAGTGAAAGTTATAAGGGCTCGCAATTTTTCTGCACCAGAAATAGATGTAGGAAAAGGGATCCCTTCATCAATCATCACTGTCAAGTGACGATTCCTTGACCCATCTATAGTCAAATGGTCTGAGTTGATCTCTTTTATAGCAAACTCATTCTCCGCCAAATATCGAGCAAAATCATGTACTATGTCATGCATCTTACAACAAAAAATCTCTCCTTCAAACATTCTAAAATCTTGAAAGAAACAGC